GTGAGTTTGTTTTAATTATCTATGAAATTAAAAACCACTCAACATATCCGCTTATATAATTAAAACACTCAACAAAATATATGTTCATATCCGCTTATATATTATGTTGTTACCATTTAGCGGAAGATAACACGTAATTTACCATTTACCAAACTTTGCAGTTATTTTCCAAGACTGCAAAATAAATGGCCCCATCTTCCGCTATAGTCTGATACCATATAGTGGAAGATAACAACAGCATATATAAGCGGATATGAACATATATTAAGTGGAAAGGAACATACAACAGGACTATGAATCAAAGCATATAATTAAAACAAACTCACAGTTCACTGATACAGGAGCTGGTAAATAATTTCAGCTGCTCAGGGATGTAGTCAGGAACTTCCTTCCAAAAGTAGTCGCACAACCTTTACACTTTTACATAAGAAACGAAACTAGATGGCTACGAGCACTACTTAGGTACACAATAGAGAGAGGACTGTAGAGAAGAGAGTAGAGAGAGGACTGTAGAGAAGAGAGCAAAGCACTTCAAACTCAGGAAAACTCCGGGTGCTCAAATGAGGGGAGCCTGCCCCCTCTTATAGCCTTCCAAGTGAAACGGATTACAGCTTTTCAAAAAGCAGATTTCATTGGTAGTGGCTACAGTGACTTTGTTGGTAGTGGCTACAGTGACTTTGTCGGTAGTGGCTACAGTGACTGTCGGTAGTGGCTACAGTGGCTGGAACACGTGTCCTTGATAAGGTGCAGTCGTTCTGGTCCCCCATGAATTTCTTTATGTTGAAAAAAATTCAATTCCTACACAATCATCACCGTTCATCGGACTATAGTCTTCCTGTTCGTCATTTTGAGTGGAGGTGGACATTTTTTCAACATTATCTTCTGTTGCACTCCAGAGCTTCCTTTTAAGCTCTTTTTTGGATAGATTGGGGTTTTGTTGCTGTAATATTGCTACATATTCTGATATTTCCATTTTTTGCTTTTGGGGTGAAACTGAAGGTATAAGTTTCATTTTTATTTTGTCTGGATTTAGGGATTCATTTTTGTAACTATCCCACTATTTGATATGGATTTGCCTTCTTAATTCAGGGATGTAATCCTACTTGTCCATATCATCTGCTGAGACTTGATAATCCCATTTTAAAATCCACGGGACTTGATATAAGGTCATAAAATATATGTGGTTCTCTTTTAAGACTTTGTCTATTATACTCAAAGAATTTTCTCTGTGAAATTTGTAGTTCTTTTGACAGAATTTGGTTTGTTGATCCCCATATAGAGAACCAATTTTTCAACCAATTTGGGAATTCATTTGGCTCAGTTATTTTGAACTGAATATACCAGCTGTGCGAATTTTTTATATTCTGGTATGAGAAGACTTCATCCCAAGCCTTTATGTATTCAAAGTAAGGATAGGATTTCATTTTAAATCCTTTCGTATTTAAAATCCTTATTTTTAAAGGATCTAGTCCGCATTCTTTGAAAGAAATCACTTTTTTTATTTGAAATTTGGAATATGCTATTTCTGTATCAGTATTTCTATAATGGTGAACTATGAAAATTGACTTTGTTTCTATAAGAATACTTTCGTATCATTCTCTACATCTGTCACCCATATTAGGATGCATATGTTGCCTGAGGTATAAGGCAGCTATCTCAGTTGGATTTTTTAACTGATGATCATTTTTTATGATCAACAAAGAAATATATGATGTCTCTAAATATATGATTTTAGCACTAGGAGTTTGAGTGCTTATTGGTGTTTGTAGGGGAGATAAATCAATATCTTGTATTTGCCTTCTTATTAGAGCATTTGGTGTTGATGGTGATGCCAGGAATGATCTTAGACTAGGGATTATTTCCGTCATCTTCTTTTGTTGGCTCCTTCTGCCCTCCCTGCAAAAACTTTCGTGTTAAAAAGTCAGGCAAATGATTGGTGTTACGAGTAACATGTTCAATAGTAAATTTAAAGGCAGAGAGGATACCTTGTCATCTTGCAAAAATTTGCTTTGAAACGAGATTTTTTACATCTTCTGAAGGATGTCCTTGGCTGCTTTACAGTCGGTTTATGAGGAATGATTGATTAAGCAGGTCACTTTGAAATTTTGTGACAGCATGGAAAATAACAAGTATCTCATTTTTCACTGTTGAATAATTTTGTTGTGCTGGGTTGCAGGTTTTAGACGTAAACCAGACCAATTACTCTTGATTATTCATTTTTTGTTTTAAAACAGTACCAAGTCCTTGTTCTGAGGCGTCTATCTCTACTATTTTAAATGTTGTTGGACTTGATAGAGCTAAGCATGGTAATTCCTTAGCTTTTGCTTTAATTTTTTCGACTGCCTTGGTATATTCTTCGGTCCATTCTGAGGGATTCTTTTTCAATATCTGGAATAGATGTTTTGCATCTAAGGCCAAATCTTTATAGAAGTCAGAAATATAATTTAAACAACCAAGGAATCTTTGTAATTCAGTTTTTCCTATAATCACATTTGGAAATTTGGATGCAAATTCTATTGCTCTATCAATGGGAATAATCCTTCCCTGA